AAATTCCTCGAGTCAAGATCGTGCAAAAGACATGATTTTTTTGTGTCATCACATCGATGATGCACTGAAAATGCAATACATGACGTTGGAATCTCCACTTGAATTATGGGAGAGATTGAAAAAGAAAGATACGATCACTTGAAGCTGATTTTGTTGCCAAAGGCACGAAGCGAATGGCAAAGCCTATGACTTCAGGACTTTAAAAATGTTCAAAAATATAATTCTACCATGTTTAAAATAACATTACATCTGCGCCATTGTGGCGAAAATATATCTGAATCTGATATGATTGCGAAAACTCTCTCTATTTTTCATGCCTCTAACATGGTTTTGCAGCAGCAGTATCGCAAAAGAGGCTTTCGAAAATATTATGAGTTGATCACCTGTCATTTGTTGGCTGAACAGAACAATGAATTGCTGTTAAAAAATCACGAACCTCGGACGATATGTGCAAATTCATTTCCAGAGGCAAATGCAATATAACCGGAAAATCCGGTGTGTGGTCATGGACAAGTCAGAAATCAGCGAATTGACCGCGATCAAAATCAGAATTGCGGACGGGACCAGAAAAATACATACAGTCACAATAATTATTAAAACAGGTCCCGATATGTGACAAATCGACGTTATAATGATAGAAAGCCGAGCATACCAAAACAGAGGTTCAACACCGGGAGAAACAGAAACAATAATGAGGAGTGCACCCGGTGTGGAATCAAAGGCCATTGGACCCATGTTTGTCGCACAGCTAGTCACTTCGCTAAACTGTATCGGGCCTCAAAAGAAAGGTAGGGAAGAATTGCCCCGGAAACAAATCATTTTGCCCACAATGACACATTTGATGATGTGCTGAATGAAAATATCACGCACCTGGATGCCGATGATCTGCTTGACATAGCTGATGATGTTAAATGATAAAATATTGTTGTATCTCTTTTGTTATTTGGATGCTTTCTGCCCCCCTTTTTGTATTACTCTCTATAATATAAGTCTATTTTGATTATGTTACTAATACATGTCTTTTATTATTTCTACTTTTTTTCAAAGATATGAATGTCAAATATTTTGGAGCCGATGAAAATATATATCTTATCGACAGTGCTACGACTCACAACATTCTGAAAAACAAATGTTATTTCTCCCACCTGAATGTGGGAAAGACCACTATTGTTACTATCAGGAAAAGCTACTGTATTTCTCTCAAAATGGGTAAAAATAGAAATTGAAAATGCCTTGTTCTCGAGCAAAACTCGAAGAAATTTACTGAGCTTTCAGTGATATCGGAAAAATGGATATCACATTGAAACATTGAATGAGGCAAAAAAAATATCTCTTGATAATTCAGATTGTGAATGAAAAAAGAATTATGAAAGAAAAATTGTCATCATTTTCTTTCGGCTTGTATTATTCAAAAGTCAGTGTTATTGAACATATCACTTAGTAGACCAAATGACTGCTAGCGAATTTAAAACTTGACACGGTCGACTTGGGCATCTTTGTAATATAATGTTGTGACGAATTGCTGAAAATTCAAATGACCACTCATTGAAAAAGAAAATTATTTGGAGTTTGAATGAATTTGTTTGTGTTGCCTGTTCCCAATGGAAGTTAATAATCAAACCATTTCCAACAAAGGTTGGATTTGAATCCCCAGCTTTTTTGGAAAGAATTCAGGGTGATATTTATAGACCTATAGATTCACCGTGTGGACCTTCAAGTACTTTATAGTACTAATTAACGCATCAATGCGAAGGTCACACGTATGTTTGTTATCTACTTGCAATCTAGCTTTTGCTAGACTACTTGCACAAATAATAAAATTCCGAGCACAATTTTTAAATCACCCAATAAAGAAAATACGTTTAGATAATGCTGGAGAGTATTCATCACATACATTTGATGATTACTTCATATCAATTGGGATTATTATGGAACATCCTATTCTTCATGTACATATACAAAATGATCTTACTAAATCCCTTATCAAAATATTGCAATTAATTGCTAGACCATTGTTAATGATGCTTAAAATTTCCGTATCAGCTTAAGGACATGTTATATTGCATGCGACAACCCTCGTGAAAATAAGGCCGACAAAGTATATTATGTACGTAGACGTAGACTACGTGTACAATAGTAGATGCAAGATTTCTTCACTTTGAAGTATATTGTACCTATAAATATATGTATATCTTTATTAATGAAAAACCCAACGAATTCACTCTACCTCACTCTATCTTATCTGTCTGTGTTTTATTTATTTAATTTCATTTCATTTTACATATATTATATATAAGTACACACACAACACACTTAAATATATATCATTATATACACACGCCATATACCTATATCTATATACACATATTTATATATATATAGTATAATGCAATATATATAATAGTGGTTAGCGATTGAAATAGTTAATATTTCTATTGGTTAATTCTATACTAATATTACAATAGTTAATACTACTTTTGTATTTTTATAATAAATGAAATTGTTATAGGGTTAATAATATATTTCTTCAGTCTCACTTAATTTGTCTATTTTTTTTATTTTCGTTCGTCCCACATAATTTGTTCCTTTTTTTTAAATATAATTATACACTTTAATCACATTTTAAAATTCATAATTTATAATTTTTATTTTAATTAAACTATTTAGTAATTTTAATTTTAATCTAATTATTTTTATTAAATCATAATTATTTTCACTAAGATACTTTTTAATTACTTAGTAACTAATAACGAGATAAAAAAAAGTGTGGAATCGTCACCGGCAATAATGGTGTAAATAGATAAAAAATTAACGGATAAATTAAGATTCAAATAAAATTTTATAAATTTTTTAATTTAAATATGATATAAACATATTTTGATAAACATACTCAAATAATAAAATGAACATATATTTACAAGACCGATGAACTATATTCGAGCATATTATTAATTTTGCGTAAAAATTAACATTAAATTATAAAAAATACTGAGTTCTTTTTGTTTTTTATTTTTTAAATACAAATATTTTAATTTAAGCAATTAATACACATTATAAAACATTCACAAATGAATCAAAATTGAAACTCATCTAACTTAGCAAATATGCTTCAACGACCTCGAACAAATCAAATTGAGCCAAACTCTGCAAACTATTTCGGGTCTGTCTGGTCACTAGAACATCAATTGATACCATGCACTCAAGTTTTATGCACTCAAGTTTTATTTTTATTTTTTTATAATTATTTCTTTATTTTTTAAAAATGAAATTACTTTTAATATCCTATTTCTATTTTTCTCATGAATATAGAAATATATCTATATATACTTAATTTCTTAAAAATATATTATTTTATCCTCTTTCGAAGATATTTGCTTAAATATTTGGTCACAAATTTTAATAAAAATATATAATACTCGTTTACTTTTTCTTTAATAAAAAATACAAAAATATAATATATATATATCCTAAAAAAAAAAATACTTTTTTATGACTATTAAAAAAATAAATATAGATTTAAATGATAAAGATATTAACTATATATAAATATATATTATTTATTTATATTATTTTTGTACAAATAAACATTTATATGAATTATAACATTACCTGGAAATAATTTTAATCAAATAAACTTACAATCAAATATCATTCATATTTTAGTTCTATATTTAAAACGCCATCATGATATTGCACCCAAATAAATTATCATTCTGATATAAATGTGGATTGAATAATTTACTGATATATAAATAAAATCCAAATTATTATTGAAATTTATAGAATTCATAACTATCTATCTTTTTCATATTTAGTATTTAGTGCTCTATTCAAAATATTATTTTTAGTTCAACTCATAATAGGCATCTTATCTACACGGGGTTTAGTGTAAGTGTCCAAAAATTGACATGTCTAGCCTAAGCTTTGCCTACTTTGAGGGCTATGCCAACTGTCTCATGTAATATAAGAAATATATGCGGAACAGATACATGCATTAAAATATAGATCATTAATCCACTTTACAAAGATAAGAGGTTTGCACACATGAGATAAGCTATGGTCGAAAACTTGAGACGAAACTATCAATTCATAACAACATTCTCCCACTTCAAATCACAAATCTCCTTGTACGATACTACCTAAGTGCATCGACGTTGCTTTCTTGCACCCCTTGCAAGCTTTCAAACGTCAGTTCATCGACACTTCCAGCATACTCTTCGTATTTGCCCAAAGTAAATAAGGTTTTCCATAGCCAACCCACGTATAGTCCATTCACCTCTTCATCTCCGCACATCCTTTAAAACACCACCTGTTGTTGTGGTCCCTCTCTTATGAAAGCTCTTCCACTTCAGCGCTACAACACCATCGAGCGTACTCCATCTCTCAAAGAGCACCCTCCCCCTGTGAGGTATTGCATTACGCTCTTATTTGCTTTGATCATCACCACCGTCAATGTCTCTTATACTACTTGTAATATGCCCAGCAATGGAGACACCCAGCATCTAGGCCCTAGCTTCTCTGAGGGCTAGGCTAGCCGTTCTCTTGGGTACGATAAATCTGATGATACTATATAATATGATAGATATATGTGAAACATGTACTTGTATCAATATATAAGTCATTAATCTATCCTATAGGGACAATGAGACCCATACACATAGAGTGGACTATTCTCGAGAACCTGAAATGAAATTGCCAACTCGTAATAGTAGACATCCTAAAAGGTAACAAAGGCGTGCAAAAATTTCCTAGAGCCGATTTTGGATATTGAGGACCATAGGTTCAAATCTTGTCACGTGATGGTACAGTAAATAAGAATGACATGATACATAAAGTTAAAGTTAATCGTATTAAAATATAAGTAGTATTAGGATGACATCACTTGAAAACTTTTCGTACTCCATAAAAAAAAAAAATAATAATAATAATAATAAAAAAAAAAAAAAAAAAAAACAACTTACCATTCTTATATAAATGTGAATTGTTAATTTAGTGATATATAATACACAACCCAAATTATTATTGAAATTTACAGAATTGATAAGCAACCTCCCTTTACATACAAGCAAGCAAATGAACAAAAAATTACAAAAAAAATCAGATCGTCGTAAGTCTGCTAAAACAATTGACGTGAACTATGAATAAAGATCACTTGTGAGTTGGAGCAGGTTTTACGAAAGAGAAATCATCTTCGTTCCTACTACTTTGCTGGCCCTTGTGTTCTATCTCTATCTCTGTTTCGCTTCCGGAATCGACGTGATCCTCGACTTCTTCGCTGCGCCTTGTCCGAATGATTAAGCTAGCAGTTGGCGCCGGAGGGGTCGCCGGATCTTCGAGATCAGACCCATCATGCTCCTCATAACGCGCTGAATGCCCGGTGGTTTTGAACCGGTGGAGGGCAGCTGCCGTCGTCGGATGGAAAGGCGACCCCATTGAAGATGTGGGACTAGCGCCGCCCCCGCCCAGGGTGCGGGTCGGTGTACTTCCTCCCCGCGCCTTTTTCTTCACGGCCATGTGCCATTTCTTGAGGGCCTTCGATGTTTGCTCGTCAAAAATCGATTTTTTCATGTGCGAACCCATCTGCACGACCAAAGCATGCACATGATGATGACGACGAAAAGATAAATTTAAATCAAACAAGAAGGCAAAGATATTCTGAAACAACTAATATTGTGGAGTCTCGAAATATATTAGTAGTTAGCTAAAATGTATAGAGCATAATTTAATAAAATCTTTACTCTTATCCGTTCAAATTCAATGTATTTTTTTATTATTTTCGTCTGTTCTACTGTCTCTTCCAGCAAAATGGCACATTGAGTAAAAAATAATGATAATAACAGCAAATCAAAGTGAACTCGCCTTTAGTCATCGTTGCTTTTGGATAAATAGAGTATTATTTTATCAAAGACTTTAGGATAATATAAAGAGCATGTTCACCCTATTTGTTTTTTATGACACGATTCCAAGTATCATATATATATTTTTATCAATAGTATAACAAAAAAATATTATTTTTTATATTATTAACTTTATTCCTGTACCTAACACAAAAATGACAACTAAGTAATTTTAAGACCCATAGCAAAGCAGTTGAACAATACAAAAAGTTGTCGCCATTGCACCTGAGTTATAAGGGCGTAGAGAGGAAGTGTAATGTAGCTGCACAAGAATAGAACTCCAACTCTGCAACATTATTACAACAACTTTGTTCGATTAGTTCGGTTGTTATCCCCAAAGAACTACTTACATTCATTCATTGAGGCATGACAACTACATTACTTACCCTAAACAAATCTTCGCGATCACAAGACCAATATTTTCGTGGAAGCACGACCGGATACCATATTCGTACTGCAGAAACAAACATAAGATGGTATGTTATTTCACTAAAGACACTTGAGAACAAGAAAAATTACACCATGATCATCCTTAACTAATTGGAAAAGAAATCCTTACCCAAATCCACAAGAAATACGTCACTTGGAAAGCATTCTGCGTAGAGATATTTCAACTCGTTAGCATACAAATAACACAAGATACTAAATGTCCATTGTCTTTGAGACTTTTTTTTTTTTTTCTCTATTTGTTGTTTCAATATTGAATATCATATCCAACAATTGTTTCACCTAAACGAACATAAAAAAAATAAATAAATAAACTAAAATAAGTAAAAGAAGTGCAATACCTGAAACAATGCAAAATGTATGAGATGCAGAACCAAACGGGGTCGACCAAACCAAAAAAATTTATCGGAGACTTGCACAAGCGGTATGCCTTGGACAACCGCATGTCTCTCTGTTATTTCGAGCGCCATCTTGGTCAGTACAGCCTGAAGCTTCGTGCCAACAGCTAATATTATCTGGCGAAAGTCATGTCGTTAGCCACACATCTATACAACCTGACAAAATCCATATTCGTTACAAAATCTTACAATTAATGGGATTAAGGATGCCCAAAACAGCGCCTGCCAACCTGAACTCCATCGATGTAAAAGTAAAAAAAATCGTTAAGATCCTAAAGGAAGAAAAACTGCAAAAGGTGAAAATGGAATTAGGCCGATTACGAGCAATGTAATGACAGCTTACCATTAACATTTAGAAGCAAGAAGACAACGAATGATCCCCACAACACCGGACTGCAGACATTGGATCCATAAAAGCGGTAAGAACAATAAAGGCAATTTAAGGTAACGAATTCCACGAAAAGTAATTCATATTTAAACCTGAAAAGTTTTTTTTAAAACAAAAGCATATTACCTAACTCCCACAACTGTTTTGAAATCATCTTCGAGCGACCTTTTGATGTACTTTTGGAAATTAAACTTGCTTCCGGGTGCTAAATGAACCTACACAACAAACCGAGTTTCATTACAAAAGATTGAAAAGGGAAAATGAAATCAATTGGGTAAACAGAAAGATGACGACGCAAAATGAAGAAAACTCACGGCGATGAAACCATTGCGTAAGGTCAAGTAATCAGATTTGCTAACAGACCTAAAAAATTGACGGAAAAAGCATCCCTGCGTAAAAGGTCCATCGAGTTAGTAAGTATTTTGGAACGTAGCAAAATAATTGAGTAAATACATGCATGCAAATCAGATAATATGGAGCCTAGGACAAGAAATCGATCAAATTGATGAGCTTACAATGTAAAAGAACAACGGAATCCGGGTCCAAAAGCTGGTGTGAGCTCTTACAAAAGATGTCTCGTGACTAAGCCTGAATCTCGAAGGATCTGTTGAAACCACAATTAATAATGTTGTGGAAATTGTCAAATGACTTTGTGTTGTCGATATTTTCACACTATGAAATCTACGGTAACATTACTTTTTTTCATAAAATAATAGTATATCAGAATCTCTTCTTTATTCAAAATATCACATCTAACAAATCTTTTCTAATTGAAAAATTACACTCAAAACACATCTTCCATTCAAAAATTTTCTAAAATATTCCAAAATATCTCAAACACAAACAAAAATTCCAAATGTAATCAGATTGTTAAAATACATAGAAACAGAGAAATACGGAATCACATACCATTCGAAAACTCATAGTCATGGGTTGATGTCTCGTTCTCCCAATGTTTCCAGCCACGGATCTGCATGATGTATCGAATGTCAGGAATTCGAAACAAAAGAAAGCAAAAATATGCTAAGTAGCTGTATATCTGTGCTATATGTAAAAGTTAATCATTTCAAGTGTTTCAAACACATTGTAAACGACGATCATCTATTAATGACTTAATTTAATGACGCACAACGAATTCAATTGAGAAAAAAGGAAAAACTATTCTAGCATTCAGAAATTTATAAACACTTGAACCAATTGGCACTAGTCTACGATTATCTTAAGAAATAGTTGGTAGAATCACCTTAAGTCTTCCGAGAGCCATCGTAATGGCACTGTATATCACGTGGAAAACAGCCAAGAAAAATATAAGGATATGTATCTGGTGCAACCCGTCCACCGAAATGAGTGCTACTCGGCCCTGCAGGTTTTCAAATCGATCAAGTGTGAAGTATCAATTTAAAGCAGCCATAGTAGAAGCAATTTTCAAAAAATTTGTAACATGTCTGGTCCAAGGTTGTCATGTTGGATTGAAGACGATTTTCAACTTGCTTTGACTCCAAAAGAATGGATGAGATGAAAAGATTTGACAAAGGGTTGAAAACAGGATAATTGTGAATCTAGGCTCCACAAGAATTTATTACCTCCTTGCAACTCGACTCTTTTCCGGCCAAAATTCTGCGCTCGTACAACAGAAGCCTCCGATGATTTTCTTCCTTCACTTTGCCTTCATCCTCCCCCTTGGGCCGACATGGTAACATTGTATCGGCAACATGGGTGGGTATGCAAATCTCTGCAATGTAATATTGACTGAAGACGAGGATGAGCGAGATGAAGCCAAGAATCATCAACTCTGCCACGACCAAACCAGCGAGTTATATAATAAGTACACTCACTTTTAGAGAATGAGATGAAGTAAAATTGATTGCGACAAGAAACTACCTGCTTTCACCTTTTCCAGCGCCTCGTAAAGAGCTTTCTTGTGCCTGTCCGTTAACCACTATGAAACAGGAGACACTATCGTCACATACACATGAAACATGGTAAAAAAGCAAAGGGAAATTTTAAGGTAGAACAACCAATGAGGTTGTGGGGATGAGTGATTTTCAGAGTTTTTATATACATTTAGGGTGTGTAATGATTGATTAATAAGTTGTATCTTTTATGTTGTAAGACACGGCGCGCCGGGGGATTTGAATAAATTCGATTTCACCAGGGGAAGGTACTTTGCTGCAAGAACAAGACAATGTTGCCTTTTTTACTTATGAAAAAACAACACCAATTAGTTCTTGTCGAAGGTAAAATAGTATGTACATTTGGTGAACAAAGATGCATTGGCATTTTGATCCCTTCTAAAACCATAATCCAACCAATCTGCTTTGCAAACTACTCTAAAATAAAAACGCACCAAGAACTGAAAAGAATATTACATAGTCAACCCCTTCACCCTTGCCCGCAGCCACTTGAATCAAATATTACATGGAAAATGAATTTTATGTTGAAATATTACATCCATAATTATATATATTAGGTCAACCAACTAATCTAATTCAAAAATTTCCCATCTCCAACCCCCAAACCTACAACCATATTTGTAACATACATAACAGCATGTTTAAACAAACAAACACAAAACTTGGAAGATGCCTAACAGATGCAGAACACATAAAATCCAGAATCTTTTTTGTTTTTTTTTTTTTTTGAACACTCAGAAAAGTCAACCAGAAAAGGTAAGAGCCGGATGAACAGGCAGAGAAGAACCCCTTGTTCCTCGCGGAATCAGACATAGACAAAACGACCAGAATTGGGCTTATCGACAAATTTATTTTTTTTAAAAAAAAAAAGAACATATCGAGCACCCTCAAATACTAGTTGTCAATCAACGCACAGAGAAACCTAAAGTGAATGGAAGGGCAGGGCTGAGTGAATCGTATGGTATAAATGAAGAAGAATGAATGAATGAATGAAATGGAGGAGTAGGTAGCTCACCGTTCCGACTTTGTGGAGAACCTTCTCGAGGGCAATCGAGACGAGTATGATGACTGCGCAGACGCCGGCCACTGCCCATGTTGGTGTGTACTCAAGGGTTCTTGTCGACCCTCCCTTCCCCGCTTCCCCCGCCATCAAAACTAAAATTAGAGAGAAGATTGGAAGGAAATTGGAGAAGAGGATTAGGTGCAGAAGGATTCCGCTGCCTCTACTTTCTCTATTCACAAATTCTTTGTAATATGTAATATAATTATTATTATTATTATTATCGGATTTCAGACAGCATTTTGATTTCCTTTACAGTAAGGCATTTGTTGCTATCCGAGAACCACCGATAACTATTTATTTGTCATACAGAAAAGGAAAGAAAAGAAAAGATGAGGGGTATATATATTCATTCATACATTCCCATTCCGGGGTCGGGCGTGATGGATGCAGCGATCTCTACGATATTATTATTATAATAATAACGGCGACGACAAGGAAAGGCGTGTAAATGTAGTTTAAAATAGTCAAATTAGAAACCAAGTAGGGACGCCCTGACCTACCATTTATTGAGCACTCCGACTATTATTATTATTATTATTATTATTATTATTATTATTATTATTATTATTATTGTTGTTGTTGTTACTGCTACGACGCTTAGTTAATTATTGAAGTTTCCTGATTTTTGTCTGTTCTGACATTAATAAATCAGAGAATAAAAGGAAACCTCTTGTTCAAAATGGTGTCTGGTTTTGAAACAGTCTTCACTAACTCACAGATTACTACGTATCAAATTTTGTTACGGTGATATTTCTCCTTTCCGTGTTGAAATGCAGTAGAATTTGACGAAATACTATTATATTATTAAATATGTTGTGAGGCTATCTATATCTATAATATATATGGATGTGTGGTAGACTCGAATCAGACACGATCAAATCAAGGTCAGCGCAGGCAGCAGGCAGCGTTGATTGAATTTGGACGTTATCTCGGGTCGGGTCGGGTGAGGATGCAGCGCGTGTCCAACTGCGTCAATTAAGGAGGAAGCGTTGAATCTCTTCTTTTGTCCTGTAATGTCTTTCATGGACGCCTATTTTCATCCGCGCTTTCAAATTTTATATTTACGTTTTATTATCATTATTTTTTTATTATTATCAACATAATATCTAAAATCATTATAAACAAAGTAAGGATAAAATAAAATAAAAATGCAATTCTACAAATTACCCCGTTTAAAAAGTCATACCAAAAAAAAAAAAAATACATTAGGATTGATAATAGGGTTGTGTTTGTTTACGTTTTTAAATAGAATTTGTTTGTTTTTCGATCTAGTTTTAAAAAAAATATTTTTTTTATGTGGGGTGTAAAAACAAATGAATAGATAATAAAAATAATAAATACATATAATATTAATTTTTTTATAAAAAAATATGTGTGTTTGTTTTACAAAAGAACAGACTTTTAATCTTTCAGCATAATATAAATAATATACTTTATCTACCGATAAAAACTTAATAATACAATACAAAATATTATATTTTATATTATCAACACAATATATATATAATATACTTCATCTATCAATAAAAACTTAACAATGCAATACAAAATATTATGTTTTATATTATAACACTAATTTTCATATCTTAATATAAAAAAAAGGTACATATATTCAAAAAAAACACAAAGTGAACATTTCAATTTGTGTTTTTGGATTACACGATTTCTTATAAATATTAAATATATATATATATAAACACATTAGCACAATATATATATAATATACATATTCTATCAATTTACCAAAATTAATAATTCAATGCAAATTATTATTATTTTTATGTTGTTGCAAAAAACGGGTTAGCTCCACACAATCGGCGAAATACCGTAGTCGATTAATACCGAAGAAAATTCTCAAGTAATTAGAGAAGACACAAGTGTCACAGGTTGACATTTCTGTCCCAAGTTCTAGGTTATAGTCCGTCTCATGTGTGCGAGTCTCTATTCTGTACGGCTGATTGACGGCATGTTCCGCATTATTCTCCCATATTGTATGGTATATCCCGAACGTGTTGCGCACAAAGGACGGTTAGTCTGGGCCTCAGCACGGGCGTGTCAGCTTCCGGACACATTACACAAGGCTCACTTAAACCTCAATTTTCTTAGATCTTTTATAGTTTTTTTGACAGAATTTTTTCGACAAAATTAAAGCACAATACCGGCAAAATAACCAAAACGCTATAGCAAAATAAAAAACACCAAATTTAACGGGGTAATTTGTTTTTTTAGTCTCGTATTTGACCTCCTTTTATCATTTTAGAACTTTAAGTGAACCATGTTTGAAAATAGTCCTATAAGTAAAAAAATTTCGCTAAAATGGTCCTTCGGTGCTGGACTCGCCACGCTAGTCTGTCGTTGCTGACGTGGTGCTGACGCAACTGATATGTCATTGTCACGTAAATGCCACGTCAGCGACACGTGAAACTTTTTTATTTTTAATTTTACAAATATCTTGGTAAACTATTTTTTTTTTAAATCTAGTATATGACATCATTTATCATTTTTAGGATATTTAAATAGACTTTGTCTTTAAATAGTCCTGCATGTAAATTTTTTTTTCACTAAAATGGTCCTCCGACGAGACATCTACGTGGCGATGACAGGTTAGCCACGTCAACGCCAAGTCAGCAACGACTGCCAGCGTAGCGAGTCCGGCACCGGATGACCATGTTAGCGAGAAAATTTTACCTACGAGACTATTTTCAGAAAATTTTTCCTCAAAAAACATCAAATCAAACATTTAGTTTTCATTTTTTATATTATACTAAAAATCAATTTTACATTCAAAACATCACATCAATTCTTATTTATACCACATTATACAACTATTCAAATTCAAATTTTTTACTATTCAAATCTCAATCCAAAATCCAAACCCTCAAACAAACATAAAGGGAGTCGGATACGAGACTAAAAAAATAATTTATCCAATTTAGGCAAAATTATGTCTACGTTCTCGGACTCCAACCAAAATTCTATTATAAAAAAAGATAAAAAAATACAACGATTAAAATACGAAGATTGTGCCGCGGAATGATTCAAAATAAATAGAGAGGGTGAAAATTCACCCCCAATTCATATTGCTAGGCGACGTGGGATGATGAAGAAGCCAACAAGTGTTAATTTTTCCTACATATATTATCTACATAATTTTTCGTACTAATATAAAAATTAATCCATTTAATAATACAAAGTAAACACACCCAAGTTTAGAGTCCACCATTTTCAAAACTATTCTAACAAAATATACAGATTAATTTGTAAATATTTGTATTTGTGAAAAATCAAAAACACAAATTTCTTTTATTCTTTATTTTTCACACTTTTTTCTTAAAAAATTAATACACTACTTATATTTATTATTTTTATATTATCTATATATTTTTCACATAAAAAAAATAAATAAAATATATTTTCAAATTATTTTACAAAATAAACAAATTAATCATTCAATTTTCAATATGGGACAATAAGGTAACAAATATACTTTAAAATAATAATGAGCAATAGATTATTTTGAAATTGTATATATAAGTCATATATCTATTAATCAATAAAATAAAATAAAGTTTTTAAAAAAAATCAAAATTCATGAAAATTAGTATTGTGCTATATGAATAATAATATAATATAATTAGTAAGTATTCAATATATATTTTGTGTTTATATTATAATAGTATGTATGTTATATATGTATTATGAATACATGACAATTAACATGAAAATAGAGGAGGAGAAAAGATAAACGATGATGTCTCTATTCGATTTACATATGTACATATTTATATGCGCGATGTAAAATAAAAGTTGCGGCTGTTGATTTGCCACAAGACGAAGACGCATATGTTACGTATTAAATCATCCACACACCTTGTACATTATGTGTATAACATATTGTATATTTGTTGGGCTTTAAAATTAAGTATTTTGAATTGTATTGTACTCCATTAAAGAGATTAAAGAGTGTTCTTTATATATAATAATAATAATAAAACATTTAATAATTATTTTATTTAAATAAACATTACAACAAAAAATCAAGGATGTATTCACTTGGATTGTGTTTTTTATAGTGTTCATAATTTTATTGTTTTAAAGCTTTATGGTTACTTTATTGTAAACTATGAAACACTACTAAAATATTTTATGAATAATAATAATAATAATAAATAATAATAATCTTTTATTGAAATGTATTTTGTGAAAGTAAAGAAATTTATTTTTATACATGTGTTTTGGACTTTAATATTTTATTTATATAACATAATTTATTAAATTTATATCTAAATATTAAATTTTATATTATTTAAATAAAATAAGAAAAAAAATATAAGACTATAAACTCTAAATAAGCAAATCTAATTAAATATATATTTAAAAAAATATTATAATTTTTATTATATAATTATTGATTTTTGTTAAATATACTATTTCCCGTCCCGAAATTTGGGCACGATTATTTTGTTAAATTAAATTAATAAATTATTAATAATATGGTAGATCATCTGCACGGGCGCCGCATCATCAATTTTCTTTTTTTAAAAGAAGATATTTGCTTCCCAGACGAGATATTGTACTGTTGTTATGTGTCCCAAAATTGCGACACATGGAACATATACGATATATATTTTGTTTTTTAATTTATATTGAATTTATTACTATTATATTTTAGTTTTGTGGTAAATTGTTTTTTTAGTTCCGTAATTGGACCCCTTTATCATTTTAGTCTCGTAAGTGGAGCATGTCACAAACTAGTTCCATAAGTGAAAGTTTTTTGTTATTTTAGTCATCCGGCGCCGGAGACGCCTTCGTGGCTCGTCGGAAGTCACATGTTCGCCAGGTGTTCGGCCAAGTCAGCAACACCTGGCGAACACATGAATTTTATTTTATTTTTTCATTTTTTAAATTTTTAAATTTTTTTTTCAATTGGACCAAATAAAAAATTAAAAAAGTAAATACAATTAAAACTAAATTAAAAATAAATTTGAAAAAATAATAAAATTCACATGTCTGTCAGGTGGCTGACCTTGCGGACACGTGACCTCCGGCGAGTCACGCAGGCGTCTCTAGCGCCAGAAGACTAAAACAGCGAAAATTTTTCACTTATGGAACTAGTTTGTGACAAGCTCCAGTTACGAGACTAAAATGATAAGAAGTTCACTTACGGGACTAAAAAACCAATTACCCTACTTTTTATAATTAGAAAATTTGTTATTCTACAAAATGATATCAATATTAAATATATTTTATTAATTTACTTTTTTAAAAATATAAATACAAGTAATATTTAATTTTATTAAACTAATTA